CCCGAGAAGTATCATTCAGGAAATTTGGAAAGGAGCGAATTCTACGTCATTTGGCTTTTTTGAACTGTGCGGCACATTCTTACTTCGCTTATATATACATATATATTATATATATATGTATATGTACAGGATGTTGTAGATTTCTTTTCTTGTTTTTTTATTTTTTTTTATATTTCTTTTTGATAGAATCGAACTTTAAATTTCGCCAGCTTGAGATATGTGTTTATGAACAGAGATCTCAATTCAAGATATCTCAAGATTGCCTTTAGAGGGTTTTTTTTTTTTTTCATTTTCATGAAATATGTATGCACGTGTTTGATCGTGCCGACACTGAGTACAACTTTGATTAAACCAGCTTTGCTGGAGTTTTAATTTATTTTACTAGCTAACAATTTATTGTGGTTCACGAAGAATCGAATTTTTGCATTCAAACTGAAACTTCCTTATTGTATGGTTGATCAGATTGTTGCAGGACGATGGTGTTGAGAACGAACATCTGGATGACTCAGCAGAATGGCAGTTCCTCGAGCCTTTGTGTGACATTTCTGTAAGTGTAAGTGGTGACATTTCTATATAAGTAACAATTGACAGATATTGATGTCGCTGTGATATTTGTATGCTCGTTATTTTAGGAGTCGGTAAAACAGTTAGGTCATTTGAATTCCTTAGATAATAGAAATTATGGACAATTCGAACATGATCAGCATTCATCTCATTTATCCGAAGGAAATCGAGAATTGATACATCGTTGGCAACAACTTGCGAAGTGGTATTTTATACTTTGTATGGTTATGTCCATCTTACCCGGTTTATTATAAATTGCTACATCTGCCACGCTTGACAAGTATGCAGTGGTTTGGATATTTTATGAATGGAGTTCGTAACGTTTTCTTTTTCATGTTTCTCTTTTTTTTTTCTTTTTTGCTTGCTTCAGGTGTGCGAAGCATCCGGATGACCCGTGGATAAAATTCCGTTTTGATAAATTACCTGTAAGAAAATGTAAACGTCACCGTTATTCATCTATACAGCAGTGCTGGACCGTTGATAATGTGCAAGTGAAATTGCATCCGGAGGTGTTGTAATTTTATTTTTTCGTCCTAATTCGGTATGGAATTTTTTATATTACTTGCTTCCTACTCATTGTATAGTTAGACAGCTACTAGACTAATAACTCGTATGTATTATTTAAAGCCTTTCGCTCGAGGTGCAATGCGCGAGTGTTATCGCTTGAAAAAGCTCGTATCGCGTGGTAAAAATGATGATTGGGACCATGCACAGAACTATGTTGCCAAAAAATACATAAGAAGTGTTGATAAAGAAGTATGTTATTTTTGACTTAACGTTTGCTGGATTCGTAATTCATGTGTGGTCGAGTTATATAAAAATAAAGAAGGTGACGGAAGGAATATCATAAAAATCCTCCGAATTTTTGAAAGGTCTGTGTAAAAACTCAGTTTTGTTATGATGTTCGTTTTTTAATCATCTTGCGATTTTTCATAGTCACTGTAATTGTTAATCAATTTGGTTTTTGCGAATTTTGAAGATAGGTTGAAAAGATTTTTATTGGCAAATGTTTAGGTTTATATTTAAAATAGCGAAAAAAATGTCTGCTCTTGCAGGTGCTGTTTGAAGATGTGAAATTGCAAATGGACAGCAAACTTTGGGCTGAGGAATTTAATCGTCATCATCCACCCAAGAAGGTAATTCCACTTTAGCAGTTTGTTTTAATAACGATAATTAGGTTTTGCAGTTGATTTAACAAAAGCATACCATCAAACCGAATATCTGAGGAAGTGTCAACTTTTACATGTGCTACGATTCACCAAAATTGTTTAGATTGACATTTTTCAAGTTTGCATTTTGGAATTTCTCGATGAAGATGAACATACATTTTATCATCTTGAGCGTTTCATAGAGGGTGAATATATCAAATATAACTCCAATTCTGGCTTTGTATCAGATGTTTGTCGTCAGACTCCTCAGGTTAGTTACCGCAAATATGCTAGTTATTTAGTTTTTCAGTTAGGAATTATTTTTGAAATAAGAGAAATTAATAACATTACATTGGTAACTCTTGGATATTCTAACATTTTTAGGCATTCAGTCACTTTACGTTTGAACGTAGCGGGCATCAGTTGATTGTTGTCGATATTCAAGGAGTGGGAGATTTGTACACCGATCCGCAAATACATACCGTATGTCTTTTGTATCTTGTTACATTGCAAAATTTATCAGTATTTTTGATTTATTTCATTTGAACTCTTTATTAGTGTTCAGCTTACTTGAGAATGATGTTTTGTGATGTTTAGTTCCATGCTTGTGGCTTGCTCAAATACTCTCAAATGCCCGAAAGGATCGCAGCTAGTTTTGTTACTATTAGATTGAAAAGTTTATGAGTTCCTAGTCTGACTTTCAAAAATCTTCATTTCAGTTCCAATGAATGGTTTTATAAGTTAACCAAAATTTTGTTGCGTCATCATTAAGGAAATTCAGGCAACTGGAGAAGGTTATGGTAGTGGAAATCTTGGTACAAAAGGGATGGCATTATTTTTCCACTCCCATTTTTGCAACGACATTTGTCGATCAATGTGCTTGACGGAGTTCGATCTTGCTGAAAGCGAGAGAAATGCTCTCAAGGGAGGTGGTAACGTCGAAAGGGTAAATATTCGGCTTTTTATGTGGGTTCTGAAAATTACATTGGTAAAGAGAAAGACCACTGTGTCAGGCAGAAATAGTGACTGGTTAATGTAAAGGTCCTTAATGTTTTCCCTTCAGTAATATCATGATTTATAATTGGAACATTTTATGTAATATGATCTCAATCACCATTAATAGGGATCTTTAATTTTTAGAATTGGAATTCAGTGACTAGAAGTAGTAGTAATAGACCAGCAAGCATTTGTTCATCGCTTGTTGAAGAAAGAGGTAATGCTATGGACGAGCTACGACGCAGAACAGTATCAGTGAACAGCTCGGGAAGACGTTCTTCAGGTAAATACTTTTATGTTAACCTACGATTAGAAACGTCCTCTTCCGTGAAAGATCTGGTTCACGAATTAGCTTTTATAAGCAATCATTATAATAGCTCGAACATTGGTGCAATTAACAACAATACAGAGGAAAATTGTATATGTTTGGTTTCAGATCCCATCTTTTTAGGCCTCTACACAATTGCGTAACTATTTCAGTTACAACCCACATTTTTTTTTCGATAATGACATGATATCTTCTGTGTTAATGCGCAATTTCTTTTATATATATCAAGCTATGTTTGGAAGGTATTTAGATTTTGCCGGTCTGCCGGTATCAGTAGAATATGAAGATCCTGGTATCATGGCATGGATTTTCTTTTTTTTACTATAATGTATGAAAATAATTCTAATAATGACAAAGTCATAGGTTTGTTTTTTCAGTATCTTCGTTTTGTGATGAACAAAGCAGTGATACACAGTGTTCTGATGTGCGACTTTCTAACGATTGTTTTGAGCAAGTTATACGAGACTCTGACAAACCTATGGCTAAAGCACAAATCACCAGTTCTAGTTCCTCAAATTTATGCGATTCAACTGATAGTGAGGTATAAGGTTACCGTCGAATGGCGGTCATTCTTGTTTTCATGTCTTTTCCAACTTTAGAAATATTTAAATCTAAAACGTGTAGTTTGAAATCAGTGTAGAGAAGTACATGGTGGATGGGAAGATGCTTTGTATCTTTGAACTTCTGAACAACTGAACAATGAAATTGTAGATGAAAGAACGAATATATCACGATCCTCAGTTTGGAAGTTTGAGTAGCTGCAGTTCGAAAATGACTGGAGTAAGTCTAGTAGACTATAACATGCTGTAATAGTCCTGCCAAATTAAATTAAAGCTAAAAGTTAGTTTAAATTTACCTGCAGCATATTACCCAGGAAGCAGAAAGAGAAGCATACTGGTTAGAAAAACGCAAATTTTCACGACCGGCGGGGCTCTTATCGGAATCGCAAATCAAAGAACTTTCTGAATTCTCGCAAAAAATTCATGGTATAAATTGCATCCTTGGCCAGGTAACTTCGTAAATTCGATATCATTTTCTGTTGCCTTTGTAATTTTGTGCTTTGACATTTACAATGGATACTGCTTGAAGTCCTGGTTACTGCAAATACGACATTTAGAATTTTTTATCAAGTTACTGGATAAATATTTGAAAAACCAGCTTTGTGGCGGGTTTTAGTAATTTCGTGACTTGGTGGTTAATGTCTTGAGCTATTATTATGCTTTTGTTTGACCAGCATTTCTGTCAGCGTTAAAATTTTTCAAGAAACTGGTTACCCTCGTCATCCTAATCATAATGTTTCAGATACATTTGGATCTTGCACGTTATCATGAACTGGGACAGTTTGTTGAGAAATCGGCTTTTGTTTGTTCCGAGAAAGAGAACGTTTATTCAACGAAAGATTACGGATACAAAAAAAGTATAGATATTGACTGTTTTGTGTCTATAAACTCTTGTAGCTTTATCAAGCACGGAAGAGTTAATGTCAGAGTATAAGTCGTAAAAAATTTTCGTAATGGAATATTGTCATCGCAATAAGAAAAACATCCCTCAATAGGAATTTCAACTAATTTCAGGAAATTGTATTGGTTACGACAAAGATGCAGCTTTCTATCACCTTGACATTGCTCGGCGTTGTGGTGTTCTTGAAGCGATAATCACTATGGCTAAGATGGCTTTTGGTTCTTTTTAATACTTGTCATATTTTTATTAAAAGAAGCATTGAATTCAGTGCCATTTTTGTTATGTATTTAGGTCAGTCTCACGAGCTCCTGAAAGAAATAGTTTGTGGAGAAGTGTGGGAAAATGAAGATCTAGAAGGGACTGGTTTCGAACTTATGGAATGTGCTGCAGATATGGGTGATCAATCCGCCGTCATTTTCGTTGCACAAGCGTATGAAACGGGTCGTTTTCTCGGGCCAATGAAGTTGCTGTTGAAATATTGATTTCATTTACTTACTCAATCTGTCTAACGGCCAAATTTGCCACTCCGCGTCTTCTCGATCTCATGAAAGTTGGATTATTCCAACCTAGAAGAACGAAATACTTTTTCCTCCCTCTTACTTTTGTGTTATTTTCGACATAAATTTTTCCTTGTTTTGTTATTTTTGACATAGATTTTGACACAACGAGAAACCATGAAAAATTTAAATACTGCATGAGCATTTTTTCAGAAAACCGTCGTGGCCAAAAGCTGTTGCTTGGTATGAGAAAGCTTTAAATTTTCTTCAAAGTTCGGAAACAAATGAAAATGAAACACCTCATGAAGGTGTCCGTCCTCGTTATGAGTTGCTGGAGCGAATGGCAGTTATGTATAGAGAGGGTATGCAAATTCGCATAACTCCTTGATATTAACCATTCTGGATGTCTGTTTAGTGTCATTTCTTGGAATCCAAGTTTAATTTTTTGTTTACATTTCTCGCATCCTACCAAATATGACTAATTTCTTTTTGCCTATTGCCTTATAGATTAGCTGCTTATACATTTCTCCCATCATCAAACTGTAGTGGAGATTGCTAGTGAGATATTCCTAAACAAATCTCATTTAAGAAATTCAGTTAAAAAGTAAACAAATTTGATGAATTGAAATACCACGAAAACGTAAAAAAACAAATGTGTTTTACATAATATTCATGAATTTAATGAATATTTTGCGACGAAATATTTTCAAATAAAGCTTGGAAAATATTCGGTAACTAACCAATAAAATCTTGGGTGTGATATGCAACACTGTTTGAGTTGCTACAATCTTAAATTTCATATCACTGATATGCATATGGATAAAGTATTATGAAGAGGGCAAGAGTTCAAAGTTTGTAGTGCCGTTCAGTTATAGAGATAATATTCATTGCGAAGCTTTAGAAACTGTATATATTCTACCTAATGATCGCAATCTGACCCTACATTCAAGAGCGGTAGCTTATTCAACTTGAAGCTTACTTTTTCCTTCTGTTTTTCCCACGGCATAATATATTTTGATGTCAAGTATTATCATCACTTGGTTCATTGATTATTGCTGATTCCAGGTGGATATGGCTTGTTGCAAGACTTAGCGAAAGCATATGATTTGTATACTGAAGCGGCCGTGTCAGCAACAAAAGCTATGCAAGGAAAGCTGGCAAACAAATACTATGAACTGGCAGAACAGTGTGTATAAGTATATGCTTCCACCCTTAAACTGTATTTTTTGTATATGCTTTATTTATTTTATACAGCTCACCTCATCTTTTTGATACTCTATCTCCGTTCTTCAGAATCTTTTTCTGTTGATATCTGTATTTCACGTAGTTTTTTTTTAATGTTTAAGATATTTTGTCATTTCCTGATATTTCCTAACAATCTTGCTATCAGATGACATTTCGTAATTGTATAGATGAGAAGAAGATCGTGAAATTGTCGTATGCGCTTAGGTACTTAAGTGACCTGTATGATCACTTCAAGTATAAGTTCTTGAATCTCACGAAGTTTTGTTTTCGAGATTTTTCCTTGAGTGCAAATGACAGATGGGGAACGCCTCCAGTGTTTCATTTACTTCCATTACTGTTGTTTACGGTTAGTTTTGTTGCTAATTATGTCAATCTTCTTGTTGGTTCTTCATTTTTTCTAGGACTAATAATCTTAGAGCTCGATATCAAATGGTTAGCACGTCTTTTCGATCTTTCACATATGCAATAAATTTGAATCTTCAGCATATTACTGGAATGACATCTTTGTTCAGTTATGTGCACATTTCTTTTATTAGCTTAGAAGTAAAGGGCTCTAAGTTTCTTTTTTTTGATTCTTCACATTTCACAGTTTAATAAGTTCATTTATTGGTATTATCGTTTAAAGTATCATTGAGGCAGTTTCAAACTGTCTTATCACACTTCATTTGTTGACGATCGAAGCGCGGTAGAGCAATGAATGGCAATATTTCAGGCTTGCGTATTTAGACTTTGTCCTGAAGCAACACTCTCCATTGTTCCGGCATGCATCTTTAATATTGCTTGATAGCTTTTTTTCTCCCTAAAAAGATTTAGGGACGAGTATTAGGAATTTTAATAAATTTCAACTTGAAGATATTTGTGTTTTGAAGCAAAAAAAGTGATAGGTAACCTTCGGTTAGGCCTTTCATCGATGTATGGATCTGTGATGAAGTCTGAACCGTTTGTATCCAGTGTTGGTATTACTTGCTGTAAACGGATCTGTTTAGGCTCCTTTTGAGGACAGGTTGAGAGTGGTAAATTTGGAGTAGAGGATGAAAGAAGCTCCCTCAAATTTTGCGTGATCTCACCATATGTTGTAACTGGATTCGATTAATCTGAATTCCCATCTGCCACAGATAATGAATTATCGGTGTGTAACATTGCTCTTGGTTCTTACCTGAAACTGTTCATTCCTTGGATTACGTTTTTTTCGATTGTCATTTTGAATGGTTTCTAATTGCTTGCGACATCGTTCCAGTTCGAAACATTCATCTATAAGTGCTCGTTCCAATACCACCAGCTAGAAATAACGACAAGTATAAATAGTTCTCTGATCTCGAAACAAGATAGAAAATACAGAAATACCTGTTGATATTTTTGTTCATAAATTCGTTGCGTATTCTGTAAAATATCTTCAGCATTTTGCACCTGAAAATGAATGGATCCTGATTATTTAATTCATTAACCAATATAGGTTACCCTCAAATATCTTTTTGAAGTGAAACACCTCTCTCAATTTATGATCAAGCTGTTCGGCTTCCATTTTTAACCTTGCCACATCTTGTTGACGTTGCGCATCAAATGTACTCTTTTCAGCTTCCAATGATGATTTTGCTGCCATTATTCGCATTATTAGATCATGTTGGTCACGCAGAAAATTGGACTACAAAAGAAAATTTAAAATGATCATTTTTGTCGAATTCTGGAAATGCTTCCTTTAATAGTGCTATCAGATGTTCAGATCTATAATTTCTTGACCTTCATAGTTTTATGAAGATTGCTAGAAAAGTGATTGGCTTAAATCTGAGAAAGTATATCTTTACTTTAAAGAAAAGTCTTGTCCTTTTCAACGACAGCAATGTTAAGTGACGCAACCTTTGAAGTTTCAAGTTCGATCTTTTGTTGTTCCGTTGCATCTAGTATTTTTAACTGCTCATTTTTAAATGCTTCTTTTTCTGCATTCAGTTTTTGGCGTTCTTCACGTACTTGCCACTTTTCCTGAAATATTGACTTGTAGCTCGATTCTATTCAGTCATTAATTCAACTGTATTTCAACAAAATTTAATACCAAACTTCAATTCAATGTAAAACAAGTATTTGAGGATTTATTGGAAGTAAAGATCAAATTTCTCAGAAAGGGAATTTGAGTGTTTTTTTCAAGAGAGAAGGAAAAAAAAGAAAGAAGGATTGGTCGTAACTGAGGTCAGTTGTGAATAACGAAAATTAATAGATTATAATCGCATTATAGTTATCCACTGATCTGATTTCTTCGTTTAAATGTTCATTTGAAATTTTCGACTTACACCGTATAGTGCAGGGTGATCGAATGATTGGTTTTTTTTTTTTCAGATATTATTCGACATACCTTGCATTTTCTCAACGTTTTATGACTATAATAAAAGTCAATAAGGTACCAACTTTTAGCGTATTTTGTTCATTATTGTCGTACAGACTTTGTAATTTCAAATTTAATTCCATCACATGCTGTTTTTCATTCGCCAGCCATTCCTGTTCCTTTTTGATTCTGAATTGATTTTAATTATATGTAGGAATTAATTCCCGCTGCATGATTTCTGAGGATAAATGATACGAATAACGGATTCGATCACTGCTAAATCCTTTTCTAATTTAAAGCTGAAGTGGGAATGGAAATTGATTTCTCCGCTTCTCTACCAACATATCATCTGATCTGATTGATCTCATATAAACACCAAATTTCATGCTTCATTCTTTTTTTCCAAACCTTTCTTCTCGAATCTCAAGTTGTTGCTCTCTGAATGAAATGTAATGGCTCTGATCGGAGTTACTTTTGTCCGTTTGCTTATGCAAATTTATCGTCATTTCGCTTATTTTTCCAATTAATTCATTCACTTTCTCCAGCATTTCCTCATAACTTCTAAAAAAAAAAGAGAAGAAAGCGTTGGAAATAGTGAATTCAGTGAAGTAAAATGCATATCATCGTACTGGGTATAATGCTTAAAAAATGAATTGATTGGTTTGCAGCATAAAAGGAAACTTTGATTCTTTTTGTCCATTTATTAATGTTTCGATTTGATTGTGGAACATATCACGAATCGATTGCGACACATTTTCATGGTCATTTTTCAAACGACTCATCTGTTTTCTGCAAATTTGATAAAATTTTAGAAACTAAACTCCTAGGAAAAACGTCAAATACTGTTACTTTTACTTTATATTCCAATCATAAACTTTATAAGTATTAAATCAATCTAAAAGTAGCGAAAAAATGACCGATAATTCTCCTCCAAATCAGCAAATTCCTCTTCAAATTGTCGTTCTCGACGTTTCATCTTTTCTCGCCATTCCTCCATCAATGCTTCTTCTCGTACTATTTGTTTACGTTTTACAGATTCTATTTCTCGATTTAGGCGATTAATTTCATTTTCCATTCTATAGTCAATAACATCAATGGGTAAAGCTAGACGTGATAAATGGTAAAGCTAACTTATTGGAAGCATACAAATTTATTCATCCCATCATCATCGCTTCTTTAATTCAAATACAAAACTCAAGAAGCATTTATGTTGAATTGCATCATTACCGTTGTATGCGATCATATCCAGGTACCTCGAGCACTGGACTTGTCGTTCGATTCTTTTGACTTTTTGCTGATTTAAGTCGACTGGAATCGTCAAATCGTCCACTTTCATCAGCTTTGTTATTTGCGCCAACTTTTCTCTCAGTGACTTTCCCTGTCCAACTGTTTGTCCCGCGTCTGTTGCCAATTTGCTAGTTTATATTACAGTTACGAAAGACTAATAATAAATTTAATAGTAGACTAAAATTTAAACAACCCATTTACCAAAGTACTTCAAAAAGTCTCTCCCTCTCTCTCCAATACCAATACTAATACAACCATAGATGAAGCAATTCCAGTATGAGGTCTCCACAAGTTAAGCATCTATCATAGCCAATTTATTATCCTTCATTAATCGGTATCTATCAAAGGTATGGATTTGTTCATGTGATTGAAATCAATCCCTTCATCTCACTCCCACTCTCTCTCTCTTTCTTTCTCTCCCTCTCTGCTAATTCTTCATTCTTTGAAGAGACTTAATACTTACCTGGATCCTGATTCAAATATATTATCCAAATCGAAAGCTGTTTTATTCATAGCTTTTGTTGGATAATCACCAGTTGTCATAGGTCCACCTCTGATACTGCAATGAAGTTGTGGTCAATTTTTTAAGTTTGCTACCCTTCATAAAATGAACAATTAGTCTTCATAAAACGTACTTTGATAGATGCCCTGAAATTTGTTACATATAATATCAGTGTGATGTCAAAAATTGGCATGATATGTTGGTATCAGCGGGTAGATAAAAGTAATGTGTTGACATAAGCAGTAAAATAAATCGAAGGAAATATTTAAACATGAAGATGTCCTCACTCTGGTGAATGTTCCGATATTTTGTTTTTTTTTGTATGTTGCTACTTGCTCTCGCTGAAATTTGTTTAAAAAAAATATATATTCATAAATGTATTTCAACAATTGTAAAAAAAAAGTAGGTGAAGCATTTCCAAAATGAGGAAGGAAAGTTTATAATTCCAAATAAAAAAAAAAAAAAGAACGAAATAAAATGAAACCTCGTGAAGTTCAGCATCACTTAATTCATCCATAAATGATACAGTTGGCTTCTTTGTGGGAAAAAAGTCGTCCATACTTTTTTTGAATTTTTTCTCCTGAAACGATGTATAAGTTAGGTTTAAAAAGGCGATGAAATTTGCCGTGACAGTCTTTGTATTCTTCCTTTTTTTTAAAAAAAAATTGTGAGCAACAATCTTTTTTCTATTAACTTTAGAAATTTAATAAGAAATACTAGCATTGATGCATCACACGAATCCCTCAATATTGAAGTAATGAAAAGAAATGAACCTTTTGAGGATCACCAAGTAAATTATCAATCTTCGAAAGACCTTTTTTTGGTGCAGCATCTTTTTTTCTCCCGAACAATTCATCATCCATATTATCAATGTCCTCAAAGATAACTATTGAAATGATTTTTAATAGATTGAAATTTAAAGGTTGATATCAATCAAAAATTAATGTCTCAATATTCCAGGAGATAGTCATTTTCCTAACAGTCAGTATGGATTCATTATGTTGTTATGTTCTGGACAATAGTAAATGTTTGTGATATCAATGGGCAAATAATATTCTTCCCTTCCCCCTTTTTTTTTTGTTTGCAAATGTTACAAACTTACTTTTAGTAAATCTGCAACATTGTCTGAATCGCTATCAACCATCTTAGCAGATTCTATTACATCTATTCAATGATAAAATTAACTGTTTCATTGAACCTGAAAGTTTCAGTGTAGTAAATTGACGAAGCAAACTAGAAGAAAATGATATTATTGTCCTGGGAAAGTATGATTATAATCAATCAATAAACAAAAGAGTCATGGAAAATAGACATTATTAGTTGAAGAAATCTGGCACAAAAAGTAGACCAGTATTCGATCCACGACGACTGAATGTTTTCATCGGTTATTTAATAATGAATATCATGTAATAGCGGAATTCAGGGCAGTATCTCTATAGCAACCAAAATTTTGGATTCAATTTCTCGAAGCTAAGTGAATGCTCTTTGATCGATTAATTCATTACAATTTCCTGAATTTGAGTTCCTTTTTTAAAACACTTTAACAGCAAATAAATTTGACCGAAACATGCTTGCATTTTCAATAAAATTTCCGTACATGAAATGAAAATATATGTATAACTGTGAGATTATCAAAAATTACAGAAAAAAAAAAATCGCAAATAGTTTGAGGTAATTCAATTTAGCATTTAAATAATGCACTTACATATTACGAATTTCAAAACGAAGAGTTGCAACATTGAGAACCATTTAGATTTTCCAGTAGAGCAATGGGAAATGGGCGGAATAGTTGGATAGAATGTAAATATGGAATGGAGCGCTAAATTGAATATATTCTACCATGAGGTATTTTTGGTGATATTCACACATTTTCCTCATGTATTATAGTGGGAAGTAACAAAATTTCTGAAATTGTTCGGTTAAATTGATCGAATTTTCTTCTGAGAAATATCGGAAATAAATATTCAAATGTAAATCAAACTGAATTTTGAAATATTTCAAAAAAATTGTTTGATAATTGAAGGAAAAATCATTCATTATATGCTATTTGATGAGCAATGGGCAGTTGTTTACTTTTTGTTATACTTATCATGAAACTATGCGATGCTAATAAACAGACGGTTCAGGTATCTGTTAGGACTACAAATAAACCATTAGGACGCTTAGATTTGTTGGAATGCGCAGTACTTGAACCTGACGAATATGATAAGCAATCAGCTAAAGGTTTATGTCCACCTCAGCCAACGAAGTTTGTTTGTTTCATCGTCAATTGTTGTCATTTTAAGCAGGATTTTATCACTGAAATTCTAAACATTTAACGAATCCTTCATTTTTTCTCCAAAACATTCCATAGAATCCGAACATATGAGAGAGAAATGATTCATTTTACTTCATGTTTAAAAGTTTAGCACTGAACAAATAACTCTCATGTTTCCCTTTTCATAATAATGAATGTGAGAGAATTGGAACAAGAAGAGCTGTTTGTGGCAATAAATTAATTGTTTATGGAAATCATAAATTCAAATTATTCTCTTGGGTTGACAAAATTACACTGATGATCCTATTGTTTGACAATCATTTCAAAGATCATGCTTTGATTTGCAAATTTATGCGAAGTTGCAGGCTTCTAAAGACATTTGAAAATAAGCTGAAAAAATTATATCATGGAAAATCTCCCTGGTTAATGAAGAAAGAGAAGAAGGAAAGGAAAGATTGGATAATGAAGAAGAAAAAGATAATGAAGGCGGTATTTTTGGGCAAACAATCGTTTTATCAATTGCCATTGCAAAATGATAATTCTGATTTTGAGCTAATCGAAGGATTATTTCTGATATTGGAATGTCAAACAGGGCAAAAAGTAAAGAAAGTCAAACATTTGGTATGTTTATTTGCTTGTCCCTAATTGCTTCTAAATATTTACACATTTCGTGAGGATGTAATTATTTGTTAATTAGATAAGAGTCAAAATATATCATCAGAATCAGTTGAGCATTGATATCACGAAGTTACTGCAATGCATTTGTATGCTACAATAGGGTCTTCTTTTTTCAACTTTTTTCGAACTTGTAAAATCTTGAAGTTAAGCTTGGCGAATAAAATAGCCGTACTAACCAGCGAATTAAACAACTCAACTGTACTTAACTGGTGGATTAAACGACTTAACCATACTTGATCGGTGAATTAAATAATTTGACCGTACTAACTGGTGAATTAATAAGTTAATAAATAACATAACTAATTTGCGACATAAGGTGACACGCTTGCATATCGGCTATCTAAAATCGATTCTCACATTCCCATTACCTTGCTTGAAACATTCATGATACTTGTTTTTATAATGTTCACAAATTTTAATAACTTGTTCAGATTTATGCTTAGTGTGAGTTCAGGTTGATTCGTTCTGGAGCAAAAATGGTTGAAAAATGATCCAAAAGTGATTCGTTTTGAAACAAAAATAATTACAGCACCTTCTTAAAAACTTCATCTTTGTAATTTCAGCCAAATATTGAATGGTACCTGAATGGTGCACCAATAATTACTGATTCTCGGTTGTCTTGGAGGGTCAAGCTCACACCATTGAAATATCTTCAGGTCCATCTTAAATGAAAATACTGGAAAAAGGTATCACGGTGTACTTATTATAATAGGCTAAATTTTTCCAGTTAAAATCATTTAAATTTCTCAAATCTTGTGACATTTTCTGTAAATTTAAAATTTCACAATTATGGAAATGGCAACAACTATTGGATGTTAAACTATGTCAGATTTGGCCGTTAATGGTAACCCGAGATGATGGACGATATGAATGTTTTGTTGATGGTAAACCGTATGGATCTGTCACACTACATGTCATTACTGCAGCAGTAAGTAAAGATCAAATAAACACTATTACTGAAAATAAGATGTGGCTTTAATTTTATTTAAAAAAAAAACGGCTAAATAATCAGAAGTCAAAGCTAGGCAGAGCATTTAGGAAGGAATTGGTCGAGGCATAACTAATTATCTTATAACGATGATGCTTTCCATACCATTCGTTGCATTTGCAATTTTCTATCGGTAATTTTTAATTTGTTGTTTTTAGCACATTTACATTTATGAATTGAAATACAGGTAGTTTGATTGAATAATAAAGATTTCAATGCCTCATTTCAAGTTTGTTGCATCCACAACGTGAAGCAATAATGCTAGACAGTGTTGTGGTCGATTTCTACGAGAAAATTCTGAATCTTACAACAGAGGAGATGAAGGTGGTAATAATTCATGCGAGTTTTCACACGATTTTTTCTAAATCTCAAAAAATTCAATTAAATTTGATAAATTGAGAAAATTAATTTCATTTATTGCACTATAAATCTATATGTATGACCATTTCAGAGTCATATCACTACAACAGTTTATAAAGATAAAGCGGAAAGTAAACGGAAAGAGATAGAATCCAACTATTCACGCAAGAAAACTTTGAGTGGTACGATCGTTTGATTCCAACAGTCTGACTAAATTGTTGCAGGTATTTCTCTCGTATAAATCACTGAACTACTCAACAATTCTCGTTAACAGGAGAAAGTATGAGAAATAATCGTGATGCAGTGATGACAATTGTAAATGTCGCCGAAATGAATCAATGTAAAAATAACGGTACAGCCAAACAGAAAGGGAAATTTGGGCGATTAAGTCAGATGAAATTGTATTAATTGTGTACTATAATAATTTATTGTATCGATATATGTTGGATTCCCGGGAAGGAAGAAGCAATGAATGGGATTTACATTCAAGATTAGCATAGAAGTTCGGAACAGGAAAAAGGATGCTTTTGTCTGAAGATTACTTTATGCTTCTAATATTAACAAAAAACTGCACTTTGCTACATATAAACTGCTTCTTCCTTCATCTATATCGCCTTGACGGCTGACCATAAATTTGCTCTTCGTATCACCGGACAAATTTTTGCATCATATTGTTGAATTTCTCTGATAATCAAATAAAAAAGCAGTTATGTCAAATAGCCAATTCACTCACCGCTTCGATAGCTAGACAAAAGCTCTTCGGGAACCTAGACCTATTCCCTCCATGCCAATCTTGAATTTTACTGTTCTGATGCCGCCATTCATACATTCATGTGACTTAGATATGTATCTTCGAAATCTTGACAAGACTGGTAAAGATTGATTTGTAACCCAATCCTTCATTCCCCCTAATCGAAGGAAGCTCAATTTTCTATGAAGGGAATCAATTGAAGTTCTATTCACTTTACGGGTCAACATCTAAGGTGAGGAGAACTTATTGAATTGATCGTTAGTGGTATTGACGTCGAGTTGAAGGTCAAATAGATGTCTGCTGATCCTCTTCTCGACATCTTGTTCAGCTTTGATGCTAAATTTCTGGTTCGATGTGCTTAGAGAATGAGAGTCAGTTGATGGTGAACAAAGTGTAATGGATATCAATTTTTTCTTTTGAAAGAATTAATAAATATCAACAGTTCGATTTGATTACTCGACCATATTAAGCACTGTGAATATGAAAATCTTTTGCATGAAATGGATGTACTCCCTGAGGAATCATGTCCCCTGTTTTTCCTGTTGTAACATCAGGAACCGGAATAGCTTAGTTAATGATTCGAGTTGCGAATGTAGAGTTCAATAGATGTTGGAATTCGTGCTATCTCCAAAATCGACCACCACATAAACTGAAGGGAAAGACATGAATTTATATCGTAAATTGTATCGATTGCTCAAACATTAAAGAAAATGAGCATTAAATTGGACTGAAATTTAGTTAAAGTTCTTCCTACTATGGTATTTTGATTTCTGGTAACAGCTGTATATTAGCGGCCTTATTGCATTTTGTGATAAAATTCTATTTTCTGTAGGTTACCTTGTATGACCTCTTTAGTTCCTTTTATCATAATTACAATAAACAGTCTTCAACACAGATAACTAGTAGACAAAGATTTAAGAAAATTATTAATTCACAAGCTTAATCATTACATTCAGGCGTCGCAATGAGACCCCAGATCATAGTCCTTTATTGTAATACACGCGTTCAGGTAAGTTGCGAGACTTACTGATTTCATTTTGAACTTCTGGCTCTAACTGTTTTGTTTCAATGGAACTTATCTGCGGAAAAATGGCGCAGCACAGTGGTGTTGCAAATGTCAGAATGAAACCGGCTATCAGTGCTTGTAGTGGAGCTGATACCCAAGGTCGCTTCTGTAATACAAATTTAGGGATTTGTAAAATACCATATATTTTATGATATTCGTGATTTGGAATACACCTACTATTACATGGATTTATGAGTTAAAATGTATTCTTAATTCCTTTGAACTTTGGCCATTTATTTTTTAAAGAAGATTTCTACAGTCCTGTAGACCTACACAATCTTGCTATCAGGAATGACATTTTATTATCAGCATAATTTGCTATTTACAGATTTGCACTGGATATGGTGAACGACTAATAAAGATAGAATAGAGACAATTCACAATTTGAATTTCTTGCATTTTCTTAGTATTTCAAATTTTATACACTGGAATGTGTTTACCTGATACCATTTCGTCTTCACGATCTGATTCATCATAACTGGTATACAGACTATAACATAATGACAGTCAGTAATTAGAAATGAAAAGTTTTTGGTCATTTTGATTTGAGATTTCGAATCATCGCACTTCGACTTCCACTTATCAAAACATCATACACAGACAGTGAAGATATTCGACAAAATACTTACAAAATGATGGAGCAGCCATTCCAATTCGGCTTATCGTGACGTTGGTAATAGCTATCCGCGCTACTTTCTTACTAGTGCCCACTTTGTTACCGTTTTCATCATTTATCGCAATGCCATCTATCAGCTCTCTGAAAGAACATCTGTATTCATCGTCTTCAAAAGCCATAATTAAAAGCTGCTCACAGTTTGAAAGCATAAAAATCATAAAATCTCAAACTCCAGAAAAAACCAAGCAGAAGATAGAGCCTCAATAAATAACAGAAGCGAAGAAAATATATTCTAAATGTTTCTAAACTTAATTTCTTACAATCAAACTCCAGTATTAATAAACGTTTCGCATCCATTCTTAACTAGGAAACTATGCAGAAGACAAACTTGGATCGCATAAGAGGTATATTGATTGCATTTGCAATTGCAATTGCGCAAAATGGTACCAGACGTCCGACCAACGGTGGCATTGACTACAATAATAATTGAACTTTTCAAATTTCTGAGAGTAATCACGCATTCGAGCATGTGATTAGCTCAATAATTACCATTATAGCTTCGAATAGAAATATAAAATACGATGAAGAAGTAAAAGCAGAGTGGAAGGTAACATAAAGACAAGAAAACGGAATGTCATTGTTAAAATAGATGATGTCCTCTGGCACTCTTTGGCAAAAAACTGAAAAGCCTGATTTGTTCGAATAACCAATAAAAATGAACTGAAGTGAATTCACCTTCACCAGTGAATTGAGTCCTAACGCAGCAGTAACAGCACCACCCGTTGCGCAGAAATATGACGTTAGAAGCGTTTTGTTGGAAACGCTATCGCCCGAACGGTTTGTATAATTAACAACTGCATTGAATGACTGGTTTATCCATTGCCAAAATATTACAGCACTTGGGGATCTTAAATTCAATTCTACTGTGGTACTTAATTCCGTTCATCCATTGTAGATCCTAGGAAACTCATGGAGAATTCTTACTTTCGACTCTGTGAACCAGAACTAGTTTTTTTTAACTTTATTTATTTATGTCTTTTTTTGAAGAAACAAATCCGGAAATTTGGAATAGAAATTGAAACTTCACAATGATGAATAATAAAGACCAATAAAGACATAAAAATAACATAACGGTCTTTCCTTTCAAGTTAGGTCATTCGATTAAAACAAATTATTTTTGCAAAAATAACAAATTCGAATGGAAATACTACAAAGTTGATATTCAAATGATGATGGTTCCGGTGTTGTAATATACGAGAAATTTTAGAAGCTAGTGATTTTACTCCTTCATTTTGAATTTGATGTTAAACCTGTGAAAAAAATTCACAAAAACAATGACATACTTATAGAAAGTCAGCATGCCACCACTTAGGAGCATATTACCAGGTACCTGGCAGCTCATACGTCCTGGCAAAATCATAAGTTCATTTGTGGTAGGATGATAAGCAGAATCGAAGATGTGTTTCGCATGCCATAACTCATCAACCGTTAAATTCTCAGGCACTTTGCGTTTTTGTCTAAAATATAGCTTAATTGAATTCAATTATTTTTCTTTCACATCTGTTTCTGAATTTTGCATAATTGTCGCAAGTGTCTAAAGAAAAACACAAAACCAAAATGTCACAGAATAATTAAAGTGATATGATTTGTGCACCTTTTCGAACAGCTTGGTTTTCAAGACTTAACGTTTTACGAAGGCTGCATAAAGTAAAGCAAATCAAAGTTCAAATTTGCTGAAGACTGGTCTGAAGAGCAGATATAATTTCCAGATATTCATTATTGTTGTTAAGTCAATGGATATTATCTGTCTTGTATCAGCTCTCGCATCAGTCTCCAATATCTTCGGCGTTATATGTATATGTAACCATTTAAAGTTTGACAACCCAAATTTTTCTACAGAGTTTTAATGTCTTTAAAAATTGAATACTGAATTTCTAAAACATACTTATAATCCAGGACAATCTTTTTTACTTTCTCCAATTGTTTTCCAGATACAAACAGATTTAGCGGATTTGTAGTTACAAAAAAGTGGCGAGCACGCCCTTCGAATGTTGACTGATCCCATCGCGGTTTCGATATATCGGGCGGATGCTTCATCTGTGATACCAGTTCAGACATTGTTCTCACTTCAAACTGAATTAAATTATGTCCCGCTAATTAAGATTTATGCAAAAAGATGCGCAAATTTTGATACTTTGATCAATAACATTGAAATCAGCCTGCAGAAAATTTAATTAACCTATAGTATAATATAACACGAATATATTAGTTTAGGAAAGAATCATTTAAATCCAACATTCTTGCCCTATAATGACTTTCACTTGCATAATTTTCATCACTGTCACAGACTATGTTCATTCCATCAATATGTTTCCTTCAATCTTGCTGTATTTGAACGTCTGTTGACATATTTAAGCAGAAATGAAATTGATCGAAAAGGAAAGGATGCACCGCGCTAAACTTCAATGGATATCTGCGAATTTTAGCATGATATCTTCAAGATCATGGTGAAGATAGGATATCAACGAGAATGAACTGGTCACTCGACCAATCTGACAGTTTATAAATTATGCTTGCCAGCAAATTTAATAACCCAAGCCTTTCCGATACAATGTCAGTCCAGTTTTGGTGAGCTGTAAAGGATGAGAAGATTACAGACCATATTAAAATGGTTTGGTAAAAAGGAATTTAAAAGGCTTTCGAAATATGAAATGCTCCAAGCGAAGTTGATTCAAATGTATTGACTCAAAAACTATAGCCCCTAACTAACCAACCTGAATACGAGATAGAAAAATGGAGACAACCTATCAGGAAGATCATATTAATCATTCTTAATATCTCTATTATTAATAATGTAAAGAAAAAGGGAGCTCCTACTACTTAAAATTTATGACCTTGTCTTCCTTTTACTTTTTCCTCTTCTTCTCTGTGCTATTTTTCAATTCTGTTAGGAGAATAAGAGATTATTTCCAGAAATAAATAAATAAATAAATAAATAAATAAATAAATAATATATATATATATATATATGATAGCACCGAAGTAAGAGAAATGACCAGCAAGTCGCAATTTATGATCTGGGATGTGCAAAAGAGAAGTGATGCAGGAAAGCGAGAATGGTAAGAGAATGATGGTTATGAGAAATCGTTGCTAATTATAAATTGTTCGCTTGATAAGAGAGAATGGGATTTGGAATCCAAACAATATGCTAATTTCTGAACATTTGAATTCACTACATAAGTGTTACATCTCGGGAGCTAAATGTGCTATTTTAATCTTGATGAAATTTCAATCAGTAAAATGCAACTGTTATTGACAAAGCTTATTTCGAAGTTTTTAGAGAGAAAATTAATCGGCAAACAGCCTTCAGTATACCGTTCAGAAAAAGTAGCAGCAACTGCCATCAGACAAAAATAAAAACACAAAGAATACTACAAGTTAGTTGCCTAAATGACACCACACCTTCATATTAAAAAAAAAAACTTCCCCTTTCATGAAGTTTCCTATTTCTCCATTTTTTGACATCATAGATTTGAAAAATTCTAACTCCCTTCCAATACTGGCAATATCATTTTCTTTGTAGCAGCGTGATAGATTGGTACTTGTAATGAGAAAATTGTTTCAAACAGGTAATTTAACATAACAAATCCTGGTGAATTATCATATCTCTAAGAATCTTAGTTGTCTCTGAGATTATCGTATCCTATAGGAATCTTAGAAAAAAAGTAATAATTGTCCATCCTACAAAAACTCACTATCCAGCCCTAATTGATGACTTAACCATAGAGAATCTAGCAAAAAAAGATGTCATATTATCAAATTTAAGACACAGATTACAATAGCTTAGATGAGGTAGAACAATTCTGATGTTCGTGCCGCCTAATCTACTTACCGATTTTGAAAAACCATAATGGAACAACTGACACTTCCTGATAGCCTAAAGACACTACACGAATATATTTGCGACTATTCGTTAACCCTAACAAATTTCTTCACACTGAACATTTGAGAATAAATGACACTCGAAATAAGTACGGTCAAAAAAAAAAAACTAAGTGTTAGACATAGGATAAACACAATATCGCTCAAGTAATTTTCACGTAAAGGCAATACGAATAAAACGAAAGAAATGTGGCTTTGAACAAAATTGTAAACATGAAGGTGCTTGGTTAGATTTACATATAAAATGGTTGACAGAACCAAATATTTGTAGACAGATAAGTTATCCTTCTTATAAAGTCCTTCTAGCTTGAGCATTTATTCAGTTGACAAAAGTGACAAAACCAGCACAAAACACAGCACATCAAGGTAAGTAGAAATAAACACTGTACAGTAAATTATGAACTTTGTCTACCAGTATTTCAACATTTCAACATATCGAAATATGTTGAAATGTTGTATGATTAATCTGTCCATCAGTTGACATGCAATAAATAGAAAAAAACGGCATGCCACATACAATCGCAAGCAATTACTCTCAAAGAAATCGATACATCTATCCCAGTACTACGTTATTACAAAAAAAGTTGACTTCTGATTAATGATAGCCTAACAGTGAGCATTCAAAAAGAACGAACAGAGAAGGTTGAAAGATCGTAGGCTACATTCGATAAAATGCTTACCGAAATTGAAATCCGGAAATCAAAAAACGACCAAATGTTTTTGAATGCTTGTAGCAATGTCTATAATATACTTCCAATAAATATGAAATGAAAAACGCATTAAAAAAATGTGGATAAGATTGAAATTATAATTTCTGCTTTTTTCTGTGCAGCAAATAACGATAGGTGAACATACCTCACCCATTTCAAAACAGTAAATTAAAATTTGATGCCAAATTCAGTTGCAACCTACTTACGCCTAACTCGTGAGCTCAAGTAAAATCGTCCAAGTGTACTGTAGGTACTAACATTTGGACGATTTCAGCACAGTACATTTGAAATACATCCAGCAATTTCAGTTCAGACACCTCTAGGACTCTAGAGATACATCCAGATAATTCCGATAATATATGATTATTCTAGTAATACGTCATGTGGAACAGTTAGTACAGAAATCCGAACAGCTTATCATAGAAGAAAGAGAGGTGAAAGAAATAAGAAATTTAATTTGTCTGAGAGATATTTTTCAACATTAGCAACCAATATTATGATGGGAAAACGATCGGAAAATAGCACTTGGAGAGGGGATACCGTCTGAAAAACGTCCAAAATAAAATCTTGTTTTTGGAGAGAAATTACAAACTTCTCCAGGAATTTAAATTTTCAAACGATAAAAAAACAAATAAGTGATGGTGAAGAGAGCGCGAGAATAATGATGGTAACAATATGACAAGTGATTGGCGTCCAAAAAGAGGAAAAATATGAAGTTGAGGAATGTAATGAAAAACAAACAGTAAAGATTGGGTACAATAGCAAAACAGGAATATGAGAAACTGCAATGAAAAAGAGTAAGAAAAAAGAAAAAGTAGACAGCCCTATCTTAAATTC